GAGCCAGGGCAATTAAATTGGTGTCAAATGGATTATTTCTGCAGTGTGTTTTGGATGTTTACTATTTCTCAGGCTATCATTGTGGGGAACAGCAATTTTCCCGCTAGTAGTGTGTCAGGGAGCAATATTTGTGCCCATTGGCTGCAGCTGTTTCTTTTTTGGAAACTTTCTACAGACCAACAGCCAAAGGTTTGTGGACTGGCACCAATCCAGGGACCACCATTTTGAGCAATCCATGCTGTTGTGGTGGTGGTAGTGTGCCTTCCAAGTCATTTCCGACTTTATGGCGACCCTATCCATCAAATTCAATATATCAATTTATGTTCTTCAGTAGTAACATAAATAAACAATGGGCAGTATCCATACAAGCTTAGTCTTTAGGGTGCCACAAGACACTTTTTTTCTGTTGTTACTAAGATGGAAACTCCTCTGGAAACTGCAAGAAGTATAATTTTTTTTAATGGCGTACTCTGATAGGCAGTGCTGACAAGATTGTAGACAAAACAGAAGCACTCAGGGAGGGATCAGCATGCTCAGAGGAATGTCTTTTTCATAAAAAAAATCCTGCCTGGAAGTTTAATGAACTCCCTGATGCCCCACATTGAAATCAGTGGGCTTTACTTTGGAGTACATAATGCTTATGTCTGAAACTTGTTTCTCAGGCGTAAACTCACTTTCTTGAAAGTCCAGGAGCAAGCGTGTGTGTTCTGTGCCTTCAAGTCATTTCCGACTTTCTAAGGTGACCCTATCCTGGGGTTTTCTTGGCAAGATTTGTTCAGAGGAGGTTTGCCATGGCCTTCCCCTGAGGCTGAGATAGTGCGACTTGCCCAAGGTGTGGGTTTCATAGCCAAGCTGGAAATCGAATCCTGGTCTCCAGAGTCATAGTCCAACGCGCAAACCACTACACCAAGCTGTAAACCAATATTAAATTCTCATGGTTAATAAACAAACAAGGAAAAATCCACAACTAAAAACCCATGTGCGCATGACAGAGTCATGAAGTTGGGGGGATTCTGGAGAAAACAAAACAATTTTTTGCCTGCCAATTTGGGTTAAGTGAGAACTTGGGAGGCTTTCCCACTCCAAGGGAGAACTGCAGAATTAGAATCCCATTCTGGCTCCAATGAGCAGCTCTTCCTCACTGCAGTTTGATACCACTTTAACTGTCATGGCGCTCACCTACGGAATCCTGGGATTTAGTTTGGTGAGGCATTCAGCCTAGTCTGTCAGCGCACCCTGGTGTCTCACCAAACTACACATCCCAGGGTTGTATAGGATAGAGCAGGGGTAGGCAACCTTTCCCCTTTAAGGGCCGAGGGACTTCAGCTCCCAGAATCCCAGGAGCTATTGGCCAACATGGGACTATTGGCCAACATGGCTGAGGCTTCTGGGAGCTGAAGTCCCTCGGCCCTTAAAGGGGAAAGGTTGCCTACCCCTGGAATAGAGCCATGGCAGTTAAAGGTCCAAAACACACTGTAGAAATAATCCAGTTTGAGACCAGTTTAACTGTCCTGGCTCAATGCTAGGGAATCATGGGAATTGTAGTTTTTCTTAGACATTTTTAGCCTTCTCTGTCAGAGAGCTCTGGTGCCATAATAAACTACAGTTCCCATGATTCCCTAGCATTGAGCTAGGACAATTAAAGTGGTCTCAAAATGGATTATTTCTGGCAGTCTGTACAGGCCCTTACACTATCGTACTTGTCATCTTGGCTTCTAAGGATATCTCTGTCTTGATCTGCTCTAAGGCCCATTTGTTTGTCCTTTTGGCTGTCCATGAGACCCTCAGCACTTCCCAGGATCTCCTAGCACTTAGCCAGGGCAGTTAAAGCGGTCTCAAACTGGATTATT